AGTCCCCAGCTCACTGGCTCCTTGGAGCATTTCTTGCAGGTGGTATGTATTGTGCGCTTTCTTGTCTGTCCATATCTCTCTCTCTCCCCACCATTTTCCAGCTGATTTCCTCTCATACTCTTAGTCATTGTCTTCTTTCTTTCCATTGATTCCATTTCTCTCACTCTTCGATTTTTTTCTTGACTCGATTCTCATTTGCTCTCATTCCTCCTCCAATGTGTTCTCCCCCTCCTTTTCACCCTATCATTCTTTCTCATTCATACTCTCTATTTTCTCTCTCTCTCTTTCTCTCTCTCCCTTTCCTCCTTCCCCCTCCCCTTTTTACTAAAAGTTAACTTATTACCCGGGCTATAATGCCTCTGATTACATGTCTCAATGCCTGTGGGAAACTAATCATAACAGTTAAGATAGAAGTACAAATAACAATAAAGGCCAAACAGGTCATTTTTTATTTAACATAAGGCAAAGAAGCTATCAGGAGCTGATGAATATTGTCCCCTAACTGTACAAAGTAGAGATTGCATGTCTTCCAAATATCCGAACATCAGATGGAATGCCATGAAAATAAATAACTTCTACAATAAACAGATGAAAACATATCAAACTGTTATCTCTTTAAACATATTGTAAATAAAAAAATTACCAGTCCTTCTATACAATAAATATTCAGAAACCATTGACATAGTTGAAATGCACTCATATAAATTAACAACTTTAATTAGTTAAAGCACTGCTCAGGGGATGCCCAGGCCCCCAAACCAAACAAATAGACAAAATAAAATAACAGCAACCACAGAGCACAAGCATGTTTAAACCAAACAGGCTTTAGGATATCTTGGCTTTCAGATTATGTTTCTTTTTTAAAGAAAAATCGTTAAACCATTGTCAATATCTTATTTTCCAAGTGTTTAAATAGAGGGGAGAAATTAGGGAGGGGATGAATCCAGAAAAAAAAAATATTCACTTGAAATCCAAAAGAAAGAGCAAACAAGTGAGCAAATATAGCCCAAGTGGTATTTGTTTCTGCCCATGGAGATGGGGACTTCTAACCATTCATTTTCTTTGACCTACACAACAGCTCCTCCAAGATACAGGGTTTAATTTAAACCCATACAACTCCCTCCCCCGGCCCTCCTGCCCACATCTTCAAGTTTTCATTCTATGTGTAGGTTTTTGGGGTGACTCATTTTTTTGACATCAAAGAGGAAGGATGCCAGGAGGCCCACAGGGAGGGAGGCGTTTACAGGGAGCTGGATGATGGGAATCCAAGTTCAGTACAAATGGGAACCTCGGAGGCGGTGGAGACTCCAGCTCCTTTCTCAGGATCATACAGTTCAGGAAGAAACCACAGAGGCTGGCTACTCCAACCTCATTTTACAGATGAGTAAACTGAGACCCAGTGGAGAAATAAAATGAGTTGCTCAGAGTCACACAGGCAGCAAGAGGACAGGTAAGATTTGAACCCAAGCCCTCTGACACAAGATTTAGACCCCTTTCCTTTGCACCAAAGGAGGACAAACTTCCTTTCACTCTCAGGAGAACCCAGGTGAGCCTCTAGAGAAGGGACTTTGGAAATCAGTCCTAGATGGACAGCCATACAGCTACTCTTTACAGGTAAAGTGATATAAAGCCAGTGCCTGAAAAAGGCTTGACTATGCTTTTAAGGGAACTCAGGCAAAACAGTCACAGATTATAACCACAACCCCCTGTAATATCTCCCTGTTTTCTTATACAGATGTTGGATGCAAAAGCTTCTTCAAGGCAACAGATTAATTTCATTGGATTCCTAAAATTTTTGTTCCCTGTGAGAAAGGTAAGCTACACCATTAGATAGGTGTATGTGTATATGTATGTGTATAACAAATATAAAGTGGTTTGAGTATACATGCCCATATATACACATGGGAATATATATACATATATACATGTATATATATGTATATATATATATATATATATGTATGTCTGCATGCACATACACATGTATATATATGTATATATGTATGTATGTATGTCTGCATACACATACACATGTATATGTATGTATGTGTGTCTGCATACACATACACATGTATATGTGTGCATGTGATCTGTTCATAGACATGATTTTCAGAAAGGGTCTTAAGGACAGCAATGAAGACAGCTTCAAGAAAAAAGAAGTTCAGACAGAACCGAGCTGCATAAAGCTAAATGGACTCAAACTTTCTAAAAGGGTTAGCACAAGCATGGAATCTCCAACATCCCCCCACATAGCTCGAAAGTGGTGAAGATTTCTAATTAGCCTGTGGACTTGCCAATTGAATAAAACCAAATTAAAATCTGTGTGTGTGTGTGTGTGCATGCGTGCATGTGTGTATGTGTGTGTGTGTGTGTGTGTGTGTGTGTGTGTGTATGTATGCATGGCAATTTTCATCCCAGAAGTATATATTTCCTGTTGGGTTGTATTTCTAAAATTCAAATCAAATAGCTTTTCATTTATCTTTGCTTCCTGTTATATTAGCCATCAATCAAGCCTCCCCTCTCTTGTCTGATAACTTCATGATTTGTCTTTAGTTTGATTGGGAGGTGAGCTTTTCAGTTTAGAAATACATACTCAGGTACATGCCAGCTGCCATTTCTCCCTCCCCTTTTCTCCATTTGGTCACTTATGAAGGACACAGGCCCCAGCCTCATCCCATTTCTTATTCTGGAACCTTCCTGCTCTTCTCTGGGACTCGATGGAACTGGTTTCCTCTTGCCTAATTTTAATGCCCCCACCAGTAACAGTTGATATAGATCCCAAACCCTCCAATAGAATTTTAAGAAAATTTGAAACATTGGTAATGACATAAACTCTTGCCCTTTCTGCTACTCAACCTTGACTGGTAGAGATGTCCTAGCAAAGAGGAATGGGGAAGCCCTGCCTGTTTCCTACTCTCTCATTCTTTGCTACCCCATGGCCATTCTCCCACACAGACACAATAGCCTTCCCTTCCCTGCCAATGATGGTGAAGATGCAGTCACCACATAGACTTTGCAAAGACAGCTGCTCTATCTTTGATTGGGTTTTGTTTCTTCCTCATTGGTATTTGATTACCCAGTGTGTATGTGTCCGTGTGTACATATATGCATATGTGTATGTATATATGCATATGAATATACACATATATGTATGTGTATTTATACACACACATATAAAGAATCCTACAGATTGACAAGGTTTGGAAAGCCTTAATAGTTTACAAAACATTTTAGTGATGAATCTAATTTTTACCCAATTAGTAGCAAATTGTTCCAAGATTTTTTTTCTTTTTGCAAGATGCAAACAAGTCCGTAAAAAAAATTATATCTGTATAAAAAAAAGCACATACATGAATAACCCATAGCGGTACTAGGCAAGCTAAATACTGTGGAATAAATTAAAGAAAACTTAGCTATAATCATGGACTTTGATATTTATAAAACAACATTTTTTTTCTTTTTTTCTTTTTTTTTTGCATCTCAGTTAATACAAAGAAACACAGGCAGGCACACATACACACACACACACACACACTCACACATACATAGAGTTTTGGCTGAAGATACAAATAAAAAATTGAGGGGTTAAACCCTTGTCTACTTTCCCCCCTCTTTCCACCTAACTATTTTTTCTCTTCTTATCCTGGCTTTTTGGACAGCTTGACCAAGAGAAGATTCTGTAGGAATCTTTTTGCCAACACCAGTGATTGATCATTGGCTCACAGGTTGCTAAAGGCCCAGTTGTTTGCAGAGAACCAGCACCTTCACAGCAAGTCTCTAATGACATATTTATATCTGGAAGCTGTCACTGACCAAGGATTCGAGATATAGAAGCTTTCCCATTTTCACCTGTGGGCGCTGACAGGTGGGGGTCAGCTAGGGGAAAGAGGAGCCGAGAGGAGGCATGGGAGCCCACGTGACTTTAGAGAGGGCCTTCTGGAAGAGTCACTGGCATTTCCAGCTCAGTTTCAATCCAAATGTTCAATGGATCCCCAAACAATCCAAAGAGAAAGCAAAAATAAAATCGCACCCTCTTTAAAAATACTGTGTTTTGCACACAAACATTCATTATTTTAGGAACATTAAAGATGACAGCCTGAAGTTCTGAAAATATGTGGACAGGATACAATGTAGTCCTACATACACATGTGTGTTCACATGCACAGGGTATGTGTACACAATTGTGCATGTATGTTTGTGTATATTGTGCATGCACACACATGTGAGTGCATATTACTTGCACACACACAGATGGACAGGCGTGCACACACATGTACTGTTTCATGAATCTGATTTCCAACCGTGTACAACTACTGCACAGCCAGCAAGAAATGTCCCCTGTTTCCTAGCTGTCCTAGGAAGAGGCCAGGTCCGGTTGGAGGGCCTTCCTCTGCACTCACTTCCATTGGCCTCCCTGACCCGTCACCTTGGAATGGTCACCATCACAAACAGACTGTTTAAAGGCTCACACAAATGTCTTTGGTGTACGTGTCTATTCATTTGTAAGGTACAAAATAATAATAACAATAATTATAATTATAATAATAAAAATAGCTATTTTGTGTGCGCTAGCAGTTCTTCTATAGCTCACATTAAGTGCAGCTCTTCACCTCCCACCCCCCAACCCCGAAAATACTTGTTAAATAAGGATTAGACAGGTCAAACACCATCATAGTGCAAATAGTAAACAATAGACAACAACAACAATAACAACAACATTTACAAAAGATAGAACTGTTTGGATCAAACAGCATTCCTTTCAAGTATCTCTCCTTGAAGCAAAAAAAAAATTAATCATGTTACTTCCAATACAAAAAAAAAGTCTTTCTTTTTGTTCTCTCTCAGGTAAACAGTTTCAAACCAATTAGGTTGCATAGTTCTAGAATCATGAGCACCTTAACGAAATGTTACTTGGTATTTTTCTTTCCTCTGTTCTCTAATTTCTCCCACATTCTTGTCTTCTCTCTCTCTCTCTCTCTCTCTCTCTCTCTCTCTCTCTCTCTCTCTCTCTCTCTCTCTCTCTCTCTCTCTCTCTCTCTCTCTCTCTCTCTCTCTCTCTCTCTCCAAAGTAATGCAGAAAAGTTGTGACCCCCTGCACAACATATTATCCTTTTCTTGCCAGGCTCGCTCACACCACAGACAGTGTGTGCAGATATAGATGTGGGTCTCACTGTGCACATACACTACTTTACTCAGAGATCTATACATATATATGTGTATGTACCTATATACACATATATATGTATATGTCATACAGGCATGTAGACATGCCCTATGGCCTTGGCAAATTGGGGCAAAAATCCCTGGGAATGTTTCACTCCGTGGCTTTCTGGATGCTCTTGGGAATGGGAGGGTTCCACATGACTGACAAGTTAGGGGAGCTGACCTCAGGGCTCGTGCTGAGAGGGAACGAGTGGCCGAGACTGCTGCGTGTCCACCACTGAAGCAGCCAGTTTGATCTCCTTAGAAAGAAGGGAGGAAGGGGGATTCCCTCCTCTCCCTCCCCTCCACAGTCCCAGCTCCGTCACCTGCTTCTTCTCAGAACCCAGGCCGATGATGGTCTGAATATTTCCTTCATGCGTCTTCGGTTGATTTTATTCAAAGCTTCCCAGAGAAACTCCACGGCAAAGGAGGCTCTTGCGTCTTGTCTTGCCTTTCGTTGCCTTCTCGCTGTCTCCGTATCTTTCCCTCTCGCGCGTCCGTCGCCCCCCGGCCCCAGGGACCCCTCCGTCTACCAGGCAGGAGAGGGCTTAGGAGCAGCCGCACTCCTCCACTATCATGTTCTGAATGTCCTTCTTGATTATGTTCTGGCCGTCGTCATAGTACAGCATGGACATCGGCCGCAGTTTGGTGGGCACGCAACAGGACTTGAGGTTGGAAAAGGGGCTGTGCCCCCTCATGCGGTAATGGTTGATTACTGTGGAGTGGAAGGACAAGGAGGAGCCAGAAGTGCCTGCTATGTGACTGGGGCACTCTCCCTCACAGTAGTTGGCATGGTAGCCTGTGGGTGCTATGATCCAGTCATTCCAGCCAATGTCCTTGAAGCTGACAAAAAATTGTTTCTTGCAGCAGATGTTGACCTTGCCGTCACACTCCAAGCCGCGTCTGCGTCGGCGATGTGGGTGGTCCTCAGACTGGCGGGCCTGCATCATGAGGAAAGGTCTATGGGTCTGTTCTTTCTCTTCTTCTCCTCCTACTCCACCTTCTCCAGCTTCCTTCTTTCGCCCTTCTCCCTCCTCCTCCTTCTTCTTCTTCTTGCCTGATAGCACCAGGTTGGCACCTGTCTCCTGGCACTGGTCACAGGCAATCCGCACATCCAAAGAGCTCTTGCCCTGGTCCAATAGGCGTTGTATGCTGCTGGAGACTGGGAAGATGTGCCAGGTACTCTTGCGGGCATCGACTGCCTTTTCGGATATCAGTAGCTCGCTCTTTTCACCCTTGAGGCCCACCTCCTCAGCCTCATCTCCACCATCCACAGCGCTCTGGGATTGCTTCTGATTCTGGTAGAGTCGGATGGTTACTTTGGTCCTTGTCCGGTTAGCCTTGGGGACTTTTAAGAACAGCCATATTTCAGCACGCTCCACCACAGAGAGGTCACTACCTTCTTTGGAAATCTCAAAGTGCAGAGTCTTCCTGGGAGTGCCTGGGGTGGGAAACACAGCATAAGAAAAAGAGGGGAAGTGGTTAGTGCAAATGTTTGAATCTGTTCACTGACCTGATCAAGATCCCAGGAGAGTTGATTTACAATTGGGAGGGGACCTTAGGAATCCCTGGAGGGCAGCCCACTCATTCTAAAGAAGAAGAAACCTGAAGGCCCAAAGACAGGCAGAGTGATTTGTGTAAAGTTACAGGGAGAAAATGGAAGAGCTGCAACCAGAGAGGGAGGAACTATGCAACTCAAACATTTTTTAAAAGAATGATAAAAATTTGTTTTTATGTGTAACTGGGGAGCAAATAAGATATTAATTTCTTTTTGAAAAAGAGCTGTGACTCAACTCTGGCCTCTGACTCTAGCGCTGCCCCCCACAGTGGGTAAAGCACAGTTCTCCACCCTTAAACAACTGCAGGTACCCATGAATATGCACACACGTGAGTACAGTGTGCACACATGAATGTAGTAGTACATCGCACACATGTATGTAGGAATACAGCATGCACACACATATATAGGAGTACAGTGCACACACATGCAAGCAGGAGTACATCAACACAGATGTAGCTTTGTACAGAGATCTCCACTTTTCTATTTCTATCTCAGGACTTAAGCACACCTTTGAAATCCCGCTTTTGAAAATATTGCCCCCATTTGGAGCACTTTACAGTTGCCTTTCATATACAAACCACCCTCCTTTATATGTAGAACATGCTTCCACTTGACTTCTGTATGTAGCCCAATGCATAGAGCACTGCCATTGGAGTCTGGAGCAGCTGTGTTCAAATCCCTTCTTTGACCTAATCCGACTGAATGACCTTGGGCCAGTCACTTAAGATCCCCCCCCCCCCACCATCCCCAGCATCCCCACCAAACTCTTTGAGTTGCTGAGCTGCTCACTGGGTACTTGCCACACTGATGAAATCATTGCTCTAGACCTCCTCACCCTCCATACAATTAAAACCTAAGCACACAACTAGAAATCAGAATAGCATCCTGCTGAGAAAACCACATGTGCACACATGCCATCATATATGTATTTGTAAAGAGGACCGCACACACATACATAAACCATTCATGTGTGTGCATGCTGTAAGTGGTTTTATACATGCATCTTGCAAACTTAGACATGTGGTGTACATCTCTGTATTTACACACATAACACGCATAACCACATGTACGTGCATGAGCACAGATATAATATGTGCACATAAATAAGTGTGGCTACATAAAATGTATACGTGACAATGTAGCATATCTTCATACCACACATGATTCACTGAAGACAGACTTGTGTCTAGGAGCACAGACATAAAGACACATGAGAGAGACGCAATTTTCTAAGTGTGCTCTGGAGATCTTTGGGTATCCCTAAGACTTTTTTAGGGGGTCCACTGGTCAAAATTATTTTCATAATTATATTAAGATATTTTAATTTCTAAATAAATGCTACATACCACACACATCAACAAAAGTTCTCTGGGAGAGGGCCCTCGATAACTTTTAAGATTGTGGATGGGTTCAGATACCACAATGGTTGAGAAACACTGTGGTGGAATCAATAACACAGGGCTTCACATCAGGAGAGACTCCAGCTTGATTCTTGCCTCCTATGCTGGTTGTGGAATCATAGTTAAGCACTTGGCCTCAGTTTGCTCATCCATAAAACGGGGATAAGTTGGTACTGTCTACTCCACAGCTGTTGTGAGCGATCTACCGCTTACTGAACTGAATGGTTTTGGGTAAGTCACTTCTCTAGGACTCAGTTACCTCCTTTGTCAAATGAGGAGGTTGGAGTAAGGAACATCTTCCAGCTCTAAGCCTATGATCCTGGCAAACTGACAAGCATTGGGCTTAAGTGATGGCCAGTGAACAGTTGACCCACGACCATGCCTATCTTTGGGCCCACATTCAATGAAAATGAAATCAATTTACTTCAGCAAGTATTTGGGACTCTTCCAGGCATTGTACTGGGCACTAGGGAGAAAACAGAAATGAAATAAGGATTGGTCTTTGCCCTCAAGGGGATTACATTCTCCTAAGGTAGGGGTGGCAATATGCACCACACACATAGCTAAAACAACACAAAATGTAGACAAAGTTGACAGAAAGCCCTTGACAGGTGCTCACTGGCCTTTGGGACGGTTTTCTAGCCACATTTCCATGCCTCCCTATAAAAAGTGAAGGATCTGAGAGAAAGTCCCTAGAAAATGGCCCCCACATCCCACCTTTGTGCCCCCTGCAGCCTTTTATTGAAAGCCAGTCCCGTGCAGCACTCTCTCCACAGCAACGCTTAGGATCCTGCACATCTGGCCGGTTTCACTGTCTCTGCAGCAGAAGGCAGGCTCTTGGTGCCCTATTCATGGCGGATTTCGTCCCTGTTTTAACACTTTTGGCCCCGTGTAATTCTAGTTGTGGGCAATCTGACCTCTCCCAGGGACCAGACAAAATGAACATGATAGTCCACCTTATAGTCTAATGGATGGGGTAGGCAGAGTCAGGGCATGTGAGGCAGCCTATCGGGGCCGGGTCCTGAGTTCTTTAGCATAATCAATGTTCTTCTCGTCTTGGGAGGGAGGACACAACAAGGGCGTTCTTCCACAAAGTAAAGGACAGCCCGGAAGGTTGAGTTCCCTGGTTTAGGATGAAGCCAGAACAAAACACCATTGGTAGACTGCTAGACGGTCAGGTGCATCCAATGCCATAGACAGAGGAGCCTGCTAGCTGATCCTCACCAACCGCCCTACCCCGCCCCTCCATGTGGGAATGCCAGCTCTGCCCATAGCAGTGTAACAAGCTCCCTTCTGTCTGCCCAGGCCTGCCTCTGAAATCCTAACCACTTCAGGGTGTCAATGGAAAGGCCCAGAGACAGGAGCTGCTCAAACGGACCAGCCAAAGGGCACCGGCTTGGTTTGATTTCTCTAGGAAATTGAGAGCATGAAACTGTAGACGTGGAATCACCCCCAGCATGTGAAAGGACACCTGGTTTCAGTCAGCATATTCCCACAGACTTCGCTGATTCCTGTTCTTGAAAGGAAGGCTGGGGGAGGGGGTGGGGGTCAGGGAGCAGGAGATAGTCCTAGGAGAATGAAGTCTCCCCAATAAACAGCAGGATGGCAGAATACATAATGTGCTCCAAACTCCTGGAGGACCTTGGACCAAATTCCACTCCAGACAGTCAAGGAGAACTAGAATCCTAGGCAATCTTCCATTTCTCTAAACCTCAGTCTTCTTATCTGTGAAGTGGGGATGATAACAAATACCTAAGGCATTTACCTCACAGCCTTGCTAGAAAGCTCCAGAGAGGGAAGACAAACTCTTCAGTAAAGGTCAGCTCTGGTTATTGCAGACAGAGACGGCAGCCACATCGTGGGTCATCTGTTCACTGGCCATCGCTTAAGCCCAATGCTTGTCAGTTTGCCAGGATTATAGGCTTAGAGCTGGAAGATGTCCCTTACTCCAACCCCCTCATTTGACAAAGGAGGTAACTGAGTCCTAGAGAAGTGACTTACCCAAAACCACTCAGTTTGGTAAGTGGTAGAGCCCAGGCCCTCTGACTCCCATTCTACTGACCCATATTGCCTCCCTCAGAGTGGAGAAGGACTGCAGCAAAGTCCTATGTGGGGTAAGAGACAGCAGATGCTAGGTGACTTTTTTACCTGTTGAATCTAAGACAGGTGTTACCTGGGCTCTGTCTAGCCCTACATCCGCAAGAACAAGAAGTTTCTAGGGTTCAGTTCATGGACCCAGAGCTAGAGGGCCCCTCAGTGTCCATCAAATCTAAGCTCCTCATTTTTCAGGGGGAGAAACTGAGGTTCAGGGCAGTTAAGAGACTTGCCCAGAGTCACATAAGATAATAAATGTGAGAAGCAGGATTTGAACCCAAGGCTTCCTCACAGCAAGCCACCATACCAGTGATGTCAAACACACATACAAATGAGATCTACTCAACGGGACACAGAGCTCCTGGCATGCTGCAGACAGACTTAGAAAACCACTTGTTAACATCATCTGTGTTCTACCTTGTGATCATTTATTCTGTTAAATATTTCCCAGTTCCATTTTAATCTGGCTCGGCACCCCTTGGGAGTGTACTGTGGGCCTGGAGGCTAGGGTTTGGCCCCTCTGCCCTATACCAACTGCTTCTTAGGTTAAGAGGAGATCACAGCACCCCCTCCCCTGCACCAGCAGCTGGACTGGGAAGCGAGCGATTTCTGAGCATCTTGGAAATAAGGAACGTGGGAAGAGAGCTCAATCAGAAGGGGCTGAGTCCTTCCAGCTGCTGCTACAGCCAGGACCCAGCAGAGTCATAGACTCTCTCGTCTCCCAGTACTCCCAGGCCATCTCCCCTCTGGCACCGTGTGTGTGCATCGAGGCCCCTGCCACCCCTTGGGATGGCCGTTCAATCCTCAGGACAGACACAAGCAGCACCATCCATGGGCTTCTCCCCCTCCTATTTCTGACAGTTGGACTATCCCCTCCACATATCCCCCTCCCCTGTCAGTTCTGTAGCCTGGAGTCCATTTCTGGAATTGCTCTAGAGTCTAATCCAGAGAATTTTCTCAGGGAAGGAAAACAACACCGAACAGCAGCCAAAGGGAACAAGGCACCAACGCCAGAGGGGCCTGTTCATGAGAAAGCTGTGGCCACACAGCCCGGGAGAAAGGGGACCAGAGGACTCCCAGCTTTCTCCTGCCTGCCTTAGCTACAGGTACCTTTTTTAAGTTTTCTACCAGCCATAATAATGGAGGGCAGATGCTTTCGGATGCCCATGTGGAAGGTGGAAGAGGAGAGGAGAAAAGGCACAAGGAAGAGAGTCAGGGGCTAGCAGCTTGACCCCTGCCCTGTTCCTGGAGGATGGATGCTAAGGTATTTTACTTCTTGGGCCTCATTGGCCCTATTTGTAAAACGAGAAGGGGGGAGCAGTGATCAGAGCCAACTAGATAAACCCCAGGGAACCTTCTAGCTGAAATTTCTGCTTCCATGAATAC